TCCTTCCAGAGATTTCGACATTGTTCCTACCGCTTCTTTGTTGCTCGTTTTTGTCCGTTATCTTTTTTAATTATTATGATTTTTCTTTTCGCTTTTGTTTTCATGAACGCTCCAGCTCCGCTTTTCTTTTGCTTGTAGTTTGACTTGTTTACCTTGCTAAACTCGCCGTTTTCGATATCTCTAGAAACTGTCCTATGATGTCAAAAATTCCTCTTTTGTACGATAGAAGGAACGAACTTTCTCGCATATTCCCACTTTATTTGTATGTTACCTTCTTTTCCATTCGTCAGTTACAAACAGTGTGGTAAACAAGGCAGTTGTTTTTTTGGTTTTTTAGTCATATTGCAATCTGATTCTCAGTTTATGCATTTTTCGTCTTGTATTTTATTTAAAAGTTATTAGTTTGTATCCAGCATTCTTGAATCTTCCAGTCTGAAGATTTCGACTGTAGATATACTGAAATACTGGACATAAGAATGTCTTTCTAAAACCAAACTTCATTTTTGGGAAAACGAGAAGAACTGATGTTAATAAGACCGAAAAAAAATCCGTGATTTCACCGAACTACAATTCTGACGGAAAAGCGAAAAAACGAAAAAAACAATCCTTCTTTGAACAAGAACTACTTTATATTTTTTTTGCAGTAAGTAATGACAAGCTGCATTGAGTTATAAAGAATTAAGCTACGAAAAAAACGCATTGTATATTACCCAGCATCCTCCATTGAATTCCACAAAGGACCAAGGTTGAGCAAAAGGAAGCTAAATCTGAATTTCAAGAAACACCAATGTATGGAACAAACTCCATAGATGTTTTCAGACGAACTTGCACGTGTCTACGGCCACACCTAGGCGAAAACACCAGTTCCCGTCCGATCACTGCAGTTAAGCGTCTGAGGGCCTTGTTAGTACTATGGTTGGAGACAACATGGGAATCCGGGGTGCTGTAGGCTTTCCTTTTTGTTGCTCTTTACTTTTTTATTTGTTGGTTTGGGTTTTTTTGGTTTTTATTTCCTTT